TTTTGTATTGATTAAATGTTTAATATAATTTTAATTTCGATGTTTCAAAAATTGTCAAATCATGTTTTTGAAATATTTATTAACTTAGTGGTATGAAATTACTTATTAATGGCATCCATCTATGAATGAAAACATAACTGCTATAATCATTTTAATCAACCGAGAAAAGAGGCCTCAACTATCAAACAAGAGGAAATCCTCAATAGCCGCGGCATTTGAAATTCTTTTAGGCCGGATTAGAGTAAATTAGACTGTGAGACTTTTCTCCCTCTTATTTATTAGCAATACCAGGCGTGGGGCATGCGTATACCCGATTCGATTTTAGTACTCACCAGGTTCTCTACGAGCCTACCCTCAAATTGAAATTCTTTTAGGCACGATTATAGTAAATTAATCTATGAGACCTTGAGCATGGTCAAATACATCAATCGAAAGAGTTTGACCTCCTGAGTCCAAAACTCTAATTAGGTCTCAAATTGGTCAAGAGATGACGGAGCTATGATCTAAAAGTTTGTACTTGAAAATACAACAACTCAGAACCATTCTATGAGCCGCTATGCCGCGGTTAATAGCTAAGTTGTAGAATGTTCTAGCATTTTGTATTTGCTTTTGAGCAAAGTAGAACCCATTATTTTTATACTAATATATATTTATCAATGTCTGGCTGTGAAATATTCTTCTGATGTCCTGTATTACCCACTGTCATCCCGCCATGTTGTTTTATTGCTGTTTGACTTTCTCAGTTTCCATATAAACCATACAACCTTAATAATATTTATATTGGACTTTTTACTGGCCAAATATGATTGCGAGTGTTACATTGCCAGGTCAAAACAAAAGTGCTCGGACGGGAGCGATAAAAACGGGCCTGATGGTCTTTCAACCTATTTCACATCAGTACCCATTCCCTAATGTACGCATATATAAAAATGATCTATAGATTTTTATTTTTATTTAATTATCTATTTATTTCTTTTTTGTAACTAAAATTTTTGATCCACCAATCTACCCAAACAATCCTAAAAGGCGTGAATTGGATCGCACTGCAGAGACACATGCAACGTGTTTTGATGGAGTGTTCCTCTGTCCAGTGCAGAACACTAAGGTTCGT